TGTCCTCAGGTGACTTACACTCTACAGAAGTTTACTTATACAGGAGATGAGAAGGAGCCCTGTTGGCATAGTCGTTAAGGTGCTCACCTGATACCCAAAATGTCAGTGGTTTAAACCCACCAGCAAGAGAAAGACCTGGTTATCTGCTCCCATAAAGATTACAGCCAGAAAACCCAATAGGGCAGTTCTGCTGTATCCTACAGGGTGGCCCGATGGCATACAACAACAGAGGAGATGACATACACGTAGAAGTAACATATAAAGCAAAACACAAACAGTGACTGCCTCGGATAGATGTCGTTAAAATCTGAACCTTGCCTTTTCTCCCACAGAGCAGCTACAAGTTAGAGGAGAAGGGGGTGGGGCGAGAGGCAAGGACACTGAGCAGAACCCAACAGTCCACCACAGGCCGGATCGACTAGGGGATGATAACTGAAACTACGCATATTTCACTTGGACTTGTCAAAATAGCACGCCAAGAAAAAAATCAGGAGTTTATCCACATTAAACACTATTTTCACTTCCAACTTAATTATATGTAAGACCACCCACTGACACAGGAAAAATTAACATCTCCATTGTATTTTAAATGAATACCCTCAAACTCTGTTTAACATCATTTCAATTAGTACAGCTTTGTTCTTTCCTTCAAGGGTCAAGTAGACTGAAGGAAAGGTAAAAAATGTGTATATGCGTGTGCGTGTGCTATAACCAATAATCAAATTACTACTCTGATCCATGGAAAGAGCCCTGATGATGCAATGGTTAAGCACTCAGTTGCTAACTGAAAGGTTGGTGGTTCAAACCCACTTGACGGGTGGTTCCATGAGAGAAAGACTTGGGGACCTGCTCCTGTAAAGATTCAAAAAAAAAAAAAAGCAAACTCACTACCATGGAGTCAATTCTCACTCATAACGTATCCCCTTTGGGTAAATCTTTAAGGTGGTAAATCTTTAAGGAAGTAGATTGTCCCATCTGCTTTCCACGAAACACCTGGTGGATTTGAACCACCAACCTTCTGGTTACCAGTCAAATGCATTAGGCTCTGTGCCACCAGAGCTCTTTCCTGTAAAGATTACAGCCTAGAAAACCCCGTGCAGCAGTTCTTCTCTGTCACATACATTGGAATCGACCTGACCGCACCTAACAACTGATTATCCTCCGTAAGGACACAATCATGTTACCGATTTAGAAGGAAAACAACACAGGCATGAACAGGGCTTTACCAGGTCAACATCATCTTAGGGAGAGGGAGGCAGAGGGACCTAATAAGTCTGAGGTGATTCAAACTTTGTGGCCCTAACACCTTTGGCGCTGCCAAGAAATGAGATTCAGGCAATGACCCGAGGCTGCCTCCTCAGAGCCAGACAGCCTCACCGACCATTCAGCCCCAGAAGAAGCAGGTGGCAAGGCAGGCCACTAGATGTGTCACCGACGGAAGAAAGGAGACGTCACGTCTCAGACAGTTGCTCTCCTCTTTAAACACACTCGAGTTTCTCCAAACGCCAGCTTCAACACACTTCCTCTCACTATCACCACACATGCCACACAGACGGCCCAAAGACACAGGCCCCAGTGGCCTCTGAGCTGACTTCTCTGGTTCCCAGCCACCCTGCCTTGCTGTTGCTGGGTGCCATCAACTTGATTTCGGCTCACAGAGCCCCCATGGCACACAGAACCGCCCCACAGGGTTTTCCAGGCAGAAGTCTTTACTGAAGCAGCCTGCCAGGTCTGTCAGCCGTGGGGCCACTGGGCAGGTTGGGGCCGTCAACCTTTGGGTTAGCAGGTTAACCCACCAGGGCTCCTTCACCTTGCCTCAACTCCCTACAATTCCACCAGAGAGGCCCGTCTCTTCCAGACCCACTGTGAACACCCAAACAATAATGGACACAGCCATTTTCCTCTGCTATCTTTGGAGTCAACGCGCCCTTTCATTCCTCTCCTCTCAGGCCCTCTTAGATCTCTATCGAATCTTCTCTGAAACCGGCCTGTCTCAACTCTTGGCATTTCTGGAAACTTTTTTTCTTCCTTACTCTTAAGTGAGATAACACTTTTCTCTGTTTCCCCGTAAGACAGCAGAGCCCTGCAGGAGAGAAGGCCACTTCTACCCATACTCCGGGTCTTCTCAAAGCTCCCTTGCTACTGCACCCTTCAAAGACAGAGCTGTCGCAGGTCTAGCTGATCAGAGCCTGCCATGAGGGAGTCAAGATTCACTTAGAGGGGAGATCACTGCCAATCAAGGGGTATTTGTGTATGAGTCCACCCTCTGTCCCTGCTTCTCTGTGGCCACGAGAACCTGAGCCACACACCTGCCAGCATAGAGGCATGAGCCAGAAGCCAAGTCAGCCCTCCCAGCCTCAGCCTCAAGCCACCTCCTCCAATTCCACTCTTACCCGCTAGCCCCACTGGGCGTGCTAAGCCCTCTCCTAATGAGAAATTGCATTTTCAACACAGCTACTGTTTTCTGGAGCCCCTGAGTGGTCAAAACAGTTAGTACATGAAGCTGCTAACTGAAAGGTTGATAGTCTGAACCCACCCAGAAACTCCACAGAAGAAAGACCTGGCAATTGTCTTCCATAAAGATACAGCCTAGAAAATGCTATGGGGCATCGCCCTCTGTCACGGGGGTTGCTGCGAGGTGGAAATCAATTCAATGGCACCCAACAACAGCTATTACTACTATTGCTATGTTTTGGGGTCCCTGGGTGGTACAAACGGGTAACAAGCTCAGCTCTAACTGAGAAGTCTACCCAGAGGGACCTTGGAATAAAGGCCTGGCAATCGACTTCTGGAAAAACAGTCCTTCAAAAACTGTAGAACACAGTCCCACTCTGAGGTACATGGGGTCACCACGAAGCAACTCAAGAGTAACGGGAAACAAAAAGCAAAACTGTGTTTTTGTGTGTTGCTCCTTCAGTCAGAACCTCAGAAGGGAGGAGGGCTCAGGGGCGCCATCAGATCCCCAAAGGACATTCCAGACTTCTGCTGACAACTGCTGCTCTTCTCTCTCCACTCCTTCTTGGAAGGCTGGCCCCTCCTCCTCACGCACAAGGAAGCTCCGCTCTGACTCAACGCAACTGTATCCCGTGCCTAAGCTCCTCACCTCAGCTCAGTGTCTCCTATAAAATGCAATGAAGTCCTTGCTCTTCATCAAGCTGGGACGACAAAGTTAAAGGACGGGCTTAACTGAGTGAAATCATAACACGGAGTCTTGGTGATGCAATGGTTAAGCGTTCAGCCACTAGCTGAAAGGTTGGCAGTTCAAACTCACCCAGGGCCTCCAAGGAAGAGAGACCTAGTGATCTGCTTCCGTAAAGATTTCAAAAACCTTATTGCTGCTGAGTGGATTCTGACTCCTAGCAACCCTAGAGGACAGAGTGGAACTGCCCCACAGGGTTTCCAAGGCTGTGTATCTTTATAGAGGCAGACTGCCTCATCTTTCTCCCATGAGCTTTCTCCCACTGCACCACCAGGGCTCCTTTCTGTAAGGATTACAGCCAGGAAAACCCTACAGGGCAGTTCTCGGTGTCACATGGGGTCACTAGGGATCGGAATTGACTCAACAGCATCCAACAAGATCACAGCTTGAGGCCAGAAAACCTGAGGTCTAGTTTCCTCACCCACTGGCTAGTCTCAGCCAAGTGTCTGCCCTGGGCCCCAGTGACCTCAACGAGTTACAGAATGGTCTACACGACACTAAGGTCCTGCTCTATAAGTTGGCTGCAGATATAGCTTTCCCATGCTTTCTCCAGCTCAGAAAGAAGCCCCCCGAAGCTGGGAATTCTGCTAGGCTGCAAAGCATTTAAGGTGAATGTTTAACAAGATCCTGCATCAGCTGTGTACCCCAGCTGAGTGTACGGTGGTCCTGGAGACCTGCAAGAACAAGTTCGGGCCCAGAGGAGCCGGCGGAACCATGGAGACAGAGGTCCCACCTGATGTGACAGCCTCAGGACACTGTCTGACAAAGGCCTGCTCACTCCCTCAGGCCCACAGGGTCAGGCCATCTCCTACTGTGTAAGAAAATCCCTCCAAGGTGTCAGGGCTGGGGACCACAGACACACAGTCCACTGTCCTCTTCTCCCAACCCCCCGTCCTCTCCCACAGTGGTTACAGAGAGGTGCAGTGCACCCACATCTCCAATTCTTCCCTTTTCATCATTCCTCACTCTGCTTCTCCCTTTCAAACTTCCGCTCATCAACTTCAGCCCCGATCTCAAACCTGGGCTTCCTAAGGGCTCACCTAAGTCTTCATGTCTCTCTCCTCTCTTCTCCAAATCAATGCTCCCCATGAGTCTAACAATAGGACCCTCTCATTCTAAGTCCAAAGAGTTGGACACAGCTTTCTTCACTCCCAAGCCCATCCTTGGGAGCCAACCCCCCCATCCCACAGCCTTGGACCCCCGGCCACAGCAAGGAGCAGGGAGGGAAACGCAGTGGCTGCTGTGGGTCTGGCCTCACATTCTCCCTCCTCCTGCCCCTGAGGCCCTCAAACTCCTCCCCCTCCCCTACTCTAGGAAAGCAGACGTGGGCGTCTCTCTGCCCTTCCGTGCTCCCCCTAAAAACATTACCTTGTGTTCCACAACATAACCACACTTCCGATTTTTTAAACAGCTTACATCACTTATCACAACAGGGGAATAATGGTCATTTCCCCAAAAAACAATCAAGTAAAATGCACATTATGGGAATATGAGCCATACTATTTCGAATGACCCAGGCTTCCTTCTGGGTACCCCGGAAATCTCCACGCACCCCTTTAAGCCTATTTCCCCGCTCCGTGGCACACCTGGGGTGCCTCTGAGGACCCCACTTTCCAGAGCCGGAATAAAAAGGCACTTCCATTCATTTCCAGGCTGGGGAGGCGGGACCTGCTCGTCACCAGGACCAATGACCACGAGATACCTCTCAAATCAAGCCAGACGCCAACAGTGCCCAAGGGCTTGCCCCGGCCGCCATCTTGGTGGCCCATGGGGCCTGGCAGCCCACCGCCTCCCGCTTTACCTTGTCCGCCATGATCATGGAGGCGCCTCCGTGGATGCCCAGGATGGGGATGAAAGTCTGAGAAGAGATAAAATCCAGCATCTGGGCCACAGCCTCCTGGTCGGTGTCGTCCCCGAACACTAGGCCATGGATGCGCGCCCCGGACATGAGGTCGCACACGTGCGTGATGAGGCTCTTGGGGTCGGTGCGATTCATAAGCAGCGCCACCACGTTCACGTCCAGGGGCAGCCCCGCCGCCTGCTCGGGGCCCCACAGGGTCCGCAGCTCGCGCTCTGTCACGTCGTGGCTGTGACCCAGCAGCACCGCGATGTTCAGCGCCGGGGGCCCCTTCTCCGCCGCCGCGCCCTGCGCGGGGCCGCGCCAAACCAGAAGGGCCGGCAGCACCAGCAGGGTCCAATAGCCCAGTCTGCCCATAGTCGCCACTTACGGTCCCTACGGGGTTAGAAACAGCGAGTGGTCAGCCACGACACTCAACGGAAGGGCTTCCCGCCCCGCCCCCGCTCTAGGCGCCCTGTGTGGAGCGCGCCCCAGAGCAGGCTGAATGTCACCGACGCCATCCACACTCCTCGACCCATCTCCAACTCTCTACAACTCCAGTCCTAGCGGATCCCCCATCTGGAACCCAAAACCCATCCTCGCACCCAGGCTCCTCCCCATACCCAACTCTGCCCACGGCCCCCTCTGCCTCCCGCAAGTTGACTGCTGAGCCCAGCCCCCGAGGGCCAAGGGAGCCAGGAACCACTGCCAGCTTGCAAGCGCACAGGGCAAGCCCTCCACCCACCCCTCGGCCACCCGCGCCAGTGCAGACCGAGTTACGGACCCGCCCCCTGCTCGCGCCCGGCGAGCGCACCACAGCCCAGCTCCGGCGTGCGGAGGCGGCGTCCAGGTCCGCAACCCGCTCCATGAAAGCCTCCGGGGGACGCCACGGGCCTGGCTCCACGCGCCCCAGCTGGAGACCCCGCTCCTCTCCTGCAGCCTACTCCCCACCCCACCCCCGTCCCCAAGCGCCAGGGAGTGAAGACGGTCGCCAGTGCGGCCCCAGGCTCGCACTTAGGGCTCGCCCCCACCCCGCGCAGAGGGTCCGGGAAGCGCTTCCACTCAATTGCAAGGGCCCAGGACCCGCCCCCTAAAGCGCGCGTGCACCACGCGTAAGACACACACACCCCCTTTCACGAGCGCTGCGTGCAATGCAGAATTCCAGAGAGGAAGCGCGTCCCCCACGGGCCGCCGCGTGGGAGCGGCAAAGAACGTGCGTGGGGGAAAAGGTAGCCACCCAAGAAGCGCTCAGGCCGACGTAGACTGGACAGGCCCTTCCGGGCTTTCCACTGCGGGCCTTGTCGCCAAGTCTTAGCTGCACGTGGGCAGCGGCCTGCACACGCTCACTGGCACGCGCGCATTTCTGCGCACAGCCGCAGGCCGCGGTAGCGGTGCCCACAGCCATTCGGAGTCCGCACACGTCCTCAGGCGGTGCACACACATGTACCGCGCCAGGTGCACTGCCGCGCGTGCCTGCGAATACCAGCACAGGCGTGCACGAGTGCACAGGCGCGCGCCCCTCGGGCCGGGCGCTGCTGGAGCAGAGGAAGTTGGGGAGAACTCGCAACGGCCTCGGCGCTCTCCGGGTGAGAACTCGCAACGGCCTCGGCGCTCTCCGGGTGAGCGCCGCGGAGCGCGGAGCCGCAGCGCCCCCTGGTGCTCCGCTGCGGCCTCGCTACTGGTGCTCCCTCTCCCTCTAGTTCTTTGCCTCTCTCTCTCCCGATTCCTCTCCCGCTCTCCCTCCAGCCCTGTACCCCTCCTCCTAGGCCCGCCGAGCCCAGGTCTCCCGCTGGGGCGTACCTGTAGCCCGAGAAGGTCGAGGATGCGGTGGGGCGCGCTGCGCGCACGAGCATCTCGGCCGCCTCAGCAGCCACCGGGTTTAACGGGTTCCCGCATGCTGCGGCCCCCGCGCGCTCCCCTGGCTGTCCCACGCTGTCCGCATCGCCCCCACGGGGGGCGGCTATCCCAGCCGAAGGCTCTGCAGCAGGGCTCTATCGGGCGGAGAAGAGACGGAGAGGCAGGGTCAGCCCACAGGCGGCAGAAAGGACTGGGGGCTAGGCTGCAGTCCGCAACGCGCGCAGCCCCCCGGGCGCCCAGGGGGCTCGCCCAGAAAGGGGGAGCTGAAGCTTAGTGATGCCCCTAGTCTGGATCCTCAGACCCAGAGACCGTTATGGGGAGCTCCGCTCCGGGGCGCACAGGGCAACGGGAACCCCAGGTTGGCCACCCCAGGAAAGCTAACCGTGCTGCTTCCACCCTCGCCCCTTCCCACCTCCCCGGAGCCGTCTGCAGAGAGTTGTGCGGCTCCAGGCTCATGGGGGGTTGGGAGAGAAGGAGGAGGAAGAACGGGCGGGCGCTGGCTGAGTTTGCGATGAGCCGGCAGGAGGAGAGGGGGAGGGAAGGAGAAGGGCTCCCGCGGTCCCAGATCCCCGAGGGAGGTGCGATCATTCCCACGCAGCGACCCTCTTGCCTCCTGCCGCCCCTTCCTATCCAGGCCTCCCACCGCCCCTTCTGCGAGGGGCCAGCCCGGGCCGCGCGTCGCGCAAGCACTCACCGCAGCCTCTCCCCACATAGTTCTCAGCAGTGGCCGCTCCTGGTCATCTCCAGGGCTGATGGCTGCGGCCACGACTCTCAGCGCGCGCTGGGCCCCATGCTCCGACTAAGCTCCGGGCGCCTCCCTCCGGGAGCCCGAGCTCGGCTCCCTGCCCCACTCCGGACAGCTGCTGCCCGGTTCTCGGAACGCGCTCGGGCGCCTGCTCTGCAGCCCCGGCTCCGGGCTGGTGTGTGTCAGGACGAGCGTGTGGCGAGTGTGCGTGGGAGCGCGCGCGCGCGTGTGGTCGGGGATCCCCGCGGTCCCCGGCCGCGAGAAGCGCGGGCGGGGAAAGGTAGCTCCCTCCCGGCCCGTCGCAGCGGGGCCAGGTCGGCGCCGGACGTGAGGCTCCCCACTTCCCGGCGAGAGTCCGGAGAACGCCTGGCCGCTCTGGTTCCGAGCACTGACAGAGCCCGGCTCCAGGGCGTGCTCCCGCTGCGGTCGTCTCCGACGAAGAGGAGGAGGAAGGCAGGGCGCCCCCCACGCCAACTTAGGGACTTGTTCTCGGCGGGCGACACGCAGCAGCCTCCGCGCGAGCTGGAGATGCTAGGAGGTCCGGCGGGCGAAAGCGTCTCCACCCGCAGCCGCTCTCCCTGCAGGCGGGCCGAGGCAGACCCCGCAGTCCCTCCGCGGCGGCGGGGAGCGCGGTCACCCGCTCGCGGAGCGCACGGAGGCGACAAGGCCAGGCTAGGTGGCTGGCTGGCGGAGGGGGCGCCCGCCGCGGCGCGCGCCGCTGTCGGTGGCGATGGAACCACACTCTCCGCCCGCTCCGGGGCGTCTGGTGCGGCTGAAGAATCAATTATTCAGATCTCCGCTGCCGCTTCCTCCTCCCCCAGTGCCTCGCGCGGGGTACAGCAATCCCCCTCCACGCACAGGCGCGCGACACACACACACGCAGAGTCTGCTCCGATGCCTTGCCACCCCCAGACAGGAATCCACTCCTCTGAGCACAGGGAGCCAGAATGCTCAAAGGGAACGCATTCACAGCCTCCACCTGCTCCCTTCTATTTTTCCCAAGTTACATCAAAGGAAAGTCGCCCTGGCGTTGCCACTTCAGAGCTACCGCCGGGGAGAGCCAGAGAGCAGGGGGACTGGTTGGCCGGTAGCTGGGCACCAAACGCAGTGGCAAGTGAGGACCTCCCGGCGGTTGCCCCAGGAGAGACATCTACCCAGTGTGGAGAACCATCAGGGAGCAAGGAGCTCACGACTGCTAACTGAAGGGCTGGCCCTTCCAACCCACCCAGTGGCTTCCAGATCTGGCCATCTGCTCCGGTAAAGATTACAGCCCAGAAAACTCTATGGGGCAGTTCTCCTTTGTCACGTGGGGTCACTATGAGTCAAAACTCGACATCATCATCTGTGGACACTGTAACTGTGCCTATCTGACCACCTTGCCTGCATACAGTACCACAAAGCTAACCCCACCACACAGCCTAGGACACGGAGCAGGATTTCAGTACTCAGGAGTTTCAGGCAGAAACCCCTTTTTGTAGTGTAACAGCTCTGCCCACAAAGACTGTGTCCCCAAACACACCCCAAGTCTACTGCTGTCCAGTTTTTCAACTGGTTATCTCACCAGTCACACCATTAAAGTAACTGAAATACCCTGGTCTCGATTAAGGAACAAATCATTTCAGCTCTATTCAAGCCAATCGATTATCTTCACTGAAGTAATGACCCTTCTTGCTTGAGTCAGTTAAACTTTGTGCTTAAAGTCCACCAACCCCCTCTCATGTCTACAGCAGAGATCTAAAATGAGCCCATCATTGATTATGCTGCTCTTTCACCTCTATGCTCATAGGAAACTGATAAAGATTTACAAGTAGTCCCCGAGTTATAGTGGGGTTTCATTCAGACAGCTCTGTTGTAAGTCAGTTCTGATGTAAATCATTTTTTATTTATTTGCTCATTTGTTTTCATTTTCATTATCACTGTCTTTTATTATCAGAAGGAGCTCTGGTGGTGTAGTGGTTAAGGCATTTGGCTGCTAACCAAAAGGTCCATGGTTCAAAGCCACCGGAAGAAAGATGAGACCATCTGCTTCCATAAAGAGGCCGTCTGCTTTCTTAAAGATTTACGGCCTTGGAAACCCAATGGAGGGATCACTATGAATCTGAATCAATTTGATGGCGGTGAGTTGGGTTTTTGGTTTTTCAATATCTATGTCTGTATAAATCTGATCTTTGTCTTTTGAGGCTGGAAATATCACATATAAATTTATGGATATGATGACATCCACAAATCACCTGCTGTGATTGAAAGCACAACATGATTCATGTGATTGATGTCACTAAACTGTCCACGTGACAAAGCTTTAAAAAGGCTTTTAAAAGGCCCTACATTTTCCTTCACATAGGATCTCACGAGCTTGTTCTGTCCTCAGGTGGCTCGAGCAGTCAAGTAGAGTTGATCCATTCTGCTGTTCTAACTTAGTAAGTTCTCGTGGATTCCAGACTTTAGTACAACATGGCTCTAATAGCTCGTGTTTCCTTCACTTTCTCTCGGATCCTAACCTCCCTGTCACCAGCCTGGGACCCTTAGGGACTTTCTTCACTTTACACCTCAGTTTCCCCATTTGTAAAAGAAAGGAATAGACTAGCAGGATGACCTCAAAGCTCCCTTCCATTTCTGATGTTCTGATTCCATAACTCTTCTTGATGGTCTTGACCCCAGGCACAGCTAAGGTGCTAGTTAACCCTTCCATAATAGCTTATCAAAAAGGTACAAGTTCCTACTCCCCTCACCCATTCAAGTATCAGTAGGTCTAACCTGAGGGTAAGGCTTTTCCTAAACAAACCCACCACTGCTCTGCAGAGTTACAAGCACCGTACACAGCAGCACAAGCATTCACTTACAAAACATGGTTTTCCTCTGTGGCTTTTACCCAGAACACTGATGCAACCCAGTGTTCTTCCCTGTGTCAGATAGGAGTTTGGGAGACACCCAGGAAAGCTGTGGGGAAAAGATTAGTGACCTGGCAGTCAAGAGCCCTGTGTTCCACCACCTTCTGCTGTGGCTTTCGAGAAGTCATTAACCTCCCCAGAACTTCGTTTCCAGGTATCATCAGTTAAATTGAAGTAAGACCACCTGCCTCCCCCGGGATGTCATGAAGGTTGTGAAGGATGGTGGGTCCCTCGAAGAGCACGCTGAGCTAAGGATTGGAAAGCAGAATTTATGTGGGAGGTGGTCCCCCAGCAAGCATGGGAGGAAGTAGAGAAGTGAGACAAAGAACGAGAAAGCCAGTGAAGGGTGTGTCCGTGGGAAAGCTTTGCAGGAGGCAACTGAGGTCCAGCCCAAACAAGAACCCTCTGGGAGACTACAGAATACACTTCAGAATTATTGTCCCGGGTGGTGATGAACCTGAGGGATTTACCCACGCCTTCAACCTTCATTCGACCTCTGGGTAGCACAAGCAGTTTGCAATCAGCTGCTAACCTAAAGGTTGCCAGTTTGAACCCATCCAGTGGCACCATGGAAGAAAGGCCTGGCAATCTGCTTCTGTGAGATCACAGCCAAGCAAATGCACTGGAGCGGTTCTACTCTGTAACACATGGCGTCGCCATGAGTGGAGTTGACTGGGAGGGCACTGGTTTTGTTCATCCCTCATTAACTGAGGGTCACTCCAGGAGCACTAGAGAGATGCAAGAAGCCAGCCCCGTGCATATGGATCATCTGCAAGTGACCCCCTGGGTGGGCCAAGCGGGATGTGATTGGGACAGTGACCGTGTCTGCTCCTGTGTGCTCTGGAACACACTGCCTCACACGCACAAGGAGAGGCTGGAGGGAGGGCACCAGCATGGCCAGAGGGTGGCTGGCTGACCACTGAGAAGCATGCCTGAGCCTTTTACTACTTGGGCTTCAGAGAGGAGGAAGCTAACCCCTATGTGTCACCTGTCAAGAGCCAGTAACCCTACCCTCTAGAAAAGAAATCTCCATCAGTTTTCTGGAATCTGACCAACCAAATCTGACCAACCAATGGAGAAGGAGCCCTGCTGGCTGAGTGGTTGAGCACTTGGCTGCTAACCCAAAAGTCAGTGGTTCAATCCACCAGTCATTCTGTGGGAGAAAACTGTGGCAATCTGCTTCCTTAAAGATTGACAGCCTTGGAAACCCTGTGGGGCCGTTCTACTCTGTCCTCTAGGGGCGCTGTGAGTGGGAATCGACATGACAGCAATGGGTTTGGCTTGGGGTCGAAATGAGATAAAAATGCGTAACGCTCATTTCATGATCTCTGCCAGATACTATATATTATTTATATGCATTGGGGCAC